TATTATCCTACAGGACTGAATAGAATCTTCTGTACTTAAACTATTAACTTCTACTTAATTACATTGTCTATCATGAATATTGCTTAGATATACATAATGATGAAAGATCCTTTTTGCAGGCGGAAACCACTGTAATTAACCAATGCACCCAGCTTTTGTCACCTTCCGCTGATCCTACATATGTAATGACCTATATCAGTCATAGTTTTCCTCAACACCGGCAATATCTATGTGCTGGTGCATGGATTCTGATGCAAGGGCACCCAGAAAACATCAACAGCCTAAACTTAGTAAGTTTAATGTATTATGAATAACACCATGATTGGTATTTATCACTTGCTATCAGAACCTCGAAGTCTTGGCAGGGTTCTTTTGATATTGCCTAGGACACTGTTGCTTAGTCTCTTCCTTATATGGTTTCAGGCACGCGTCTTGAGAGAGTTTTCTCCTGAGGAAGTAACATCTAATATCTATACAATGGTGGATGTTCTGCTTCATCATATTCAGTTGGAACTGCAGCACGGCCATTCTTTGCAGGTCCGTCAATTGTTCTTAGGTTTTTCATTCACCATCCTGTGTATTGCATGCATGTAGAGTTGTTTTTACTGACATTTTATTCATTTCTTTTTCAGGACCTTTTATTGAAAGCATGTGCAAACCTAGCATTTTATATTTGGACCCATGAGTTGATCCCTTTGGATATTTTGCTCCTGGCACTGATTGATCGTGACGATGACCCCCATGCTCTGCATATCGTGGTACGTGCTTTCAACTTATTAAAAAGAACAAGGGTTAATGTGAGAATTCCACTTTTATTTATTAAACAAACTGATCTGGAAATGTACTATGATGCAAGATACGTTCTTGATGCAATTATGTGCTAATATGTGATGCAGATGAGTCTACTTGATAGGCAAGAACTTCAACAAAGGGTGAAACAATATTGTTCGAATCGAGGTCCCCCTGAACACTGGCTTGTCTCTACATCCTTTAAGCGAGTTGAATTGCAGAAGGCCCTCGGGAATCATCTATCTTGGAAGGACAGGTTGCATTTGTTAATTTTTTTTTTTTTTTTGTTGGGGGGGGGTTTGAAGTTGGTATGGTTTTTATACTAAGATAAGAATCATAACATAGAATCTAAACTTTGCGAATCGCTAATGCATATATTCACTTACATGGTCTTTTATGTTATGCAGGTATCCCACCTTCTTCGATGATATTGCAGGGCGTTTGATCCCAGTCATTCCATTGATAATTTATAGACTAATTGAAAATGATGCCATAGATTCAGCTGACAGAATTCTGGTCATGTATTCTCCATTTCTTAAATACCACCCTTTAAGATTTACTTTTGTTCGTGACATACTTGCATATTTTTATGGCCATCTTCCCGGAAAGCTTATTGTCCGAATATTGAATGTACTCGAAGTCAACAAGGTAAAGACCTTGCTCTCCTTTTAATTCTTTTGGTAATCAGCATTGACTTTGTAGTACTATTTTCCTCCAGTTACTTTATTAACTCCAAGTTTGTTTCAGATCCCATTTTCTGAGTCATTCCCGGTGCATATGAATAATGCCATGTGCCCACCTGCCGATTACTTTGCAACTCTCTTACTGGGACTAGTGAATAATGTCATTCCCCCATTGCATAACAACTCAAAATCTGGAACGAGTGATGCTTTAAATAATTCAATGCGTGCCCCACCTAACAAGACTCCACCACCTTCTCAGTCTGGGCAAGCAAATGTTTCCGATGGCCAAAAAGCATTCTACCAAATTCAGGATCCAGGCACATATACTCAGCTGGTTCTTGAAACAGCAGTAATTGAATTGCTCTCTCTTCCTGTATCTGCATCCCAGATTGTATCATCACTTGTTCAGATTGTCGTCAATATACAACCAACATTAATTCAATCCAGCAATGGCCTGCACGGAGCTCCAAGTGGTGTTGGGCAAGGCTCCGTTTTACCAACATCCCCTTCGGGCGGAAGCACAGATTCCTTGGGCACGAGCAGGTCACCTGCTTCAGTATCAGGAATAAATGCATCTAACTTTGTTTCTCGAAGTGGTTATACATGCCAACAATTGTCTTGCTTATTGATCCAAGCATGTGGTCTACTACTGGCTCAGCTGCCTCCTGATTTTCATGTGCAACTCTATCTGGAGGCGTCGCGTATAATAAAAGAAACGTGGTGGCTCACTGATGGCAAACGGTCAATGGGGGAACTGGACTCTGCTGTCGGTTATGCTTTGTTGGATCCAACATGGGCTGCTCAAGACAATACCTCAACCGCCATTGGTATGCTACGATATATGCAATGGTTATTTACTGATCAACCCTCCCTGTGCGAGAGTTTATATAGCTAACTCTGTCATGATTCCAGGTAATATTGTTGCGCTGCTTCATTCGTTTTTCAGTAACCTCCCACAGGAATGGCTAGAAGGGACCCATCTTATCATCAAACATCTCAGGCCAGTGACTTCAGTTGCAATGTTGAGAATAGCATTCCGCATCATGGGTCCGTTGCTCCCTAAACTAGCCAATGCGCACGCCCTCTTCAGTAAGGTACAAAAATTCACTTATTCGGAAAGCTTTCAATCATTTCCAATGCCTATTAGATTGTCATCAAAGTAAAGGTGATATGTATGAATAAATTCTCTATCCTTTGTGCTTAATCATTTCCATCACCTGTTTCAGACCCTGTCATTGATTTTAAGTATGATGGTGGATGTCTTTGGTAAGAACGTACAGCCACCGACTCCTGTTGAGCCATTAGAAATAGCAGATCTTATTGACTTCTTGTAAGTGCTTCTCTGTCATTGAAACTAACAAATTTTCTGTGTGTGGTTTGATATAGCTGTTGTTTAGTAGTGCCTGACGATAGCTAACCACGCATAACCCGTTGTGTTTCTCAGCCATCATGTGGTCCATTACGAAGGGCAGGGAGGTCCGGTGCAAGCTAACAGCAAGCCCAGACCAGAGGTTTTAGCTCTCTGTGGAAGAGCTGCAGAAAGTCTGCGTCCGGACATACAACACCTTCTTTCCCACTTAAAACCCGACACGAATTCTTCCATCTATGCTGCTACGCATCCCAAGTTGAACCAGAATTCATCGTAAGTTTTCGGGTTCTTTAGCAATTCTCATAAGCTGATGGCACGATTTTTTGAGATAATTATAGAACACTAGAGAGGACGTTCCTCTTTAGAGTATGTAAAGTCGTGTATGTAACCAGCGACTGAAAGGAGGGCTTTAGGTGGATTTCTTGTACATTTTCATAAAGAAACAATGTCAATATTGTTCATTCACCCGAAGAATTCTTTTTATATTCGAGCGATATTATAATCTAATTTGTTGTTGTATCACGATCACACGGGAGTACGGGATGGTGTTTGCATTTCAGAAACGTTTCTTGTGTCATAGGTTCTATAGGAACTGGACGATACTATTTGGTCAAATATAATAGAATGAAGAATTTTGTGACCACCAAAAATATTCTGTTCTTTTACAATCGTATTCATATGTGCTCCTCGATATGCCACCACGATGTTTGAAATAAATAGCGTGATGATGTGTTTTAATTTTTCGCATGACATTGCATTATTACATTGAGATGTCACAATGCAAAGAAGTCTCTATACATTGACATTAAACTTGTATCTCACAAAACTTAATTTAAGACCTTTTATTTACATAAGTGGAGAAAAATACTACATTTTAACCGTATCTATATATTTCTCCATATTACCCAGTAATTACAGTGTCGGGTGTTCAGCTTCTAGTATTTTTTCATTAAACATAAATAATATTTAACGAAAATTAACCGTACGATTTACAATAAACAAATAAAATATAAAGAAGAGGATCGAAGATGATCCCCACACATCTGGAGAACAGACTTAGGCCTGGTTTGGTATTGTTGTGCTTTGAAAAAAAACTGATTCTGCTTTGCTGTGAGAATAAGCTCATTTTTGCTGCTTCACGTTTTTAGCCTTTTTTTCACCCAAAATTGTGAAAATAAGCTGTTTTTAAATGTTTACCAAATACCTTTTTGAGCTCAGCTTTTTTTAATATCCATTTTTTATAAAAGCACCTTAGTACCAAACTAGTACTTAGTAGGATTGCTCTCTAACATTGCCCCTTCAATAAAACGAGGGAGGAGTCCCCGGCATAGGTGGCGACAACTAGACATACCCTACTTGTCACGTCACTACAAAAGTGGAGAACGGATCCTCTTCGGAGCTAAGCAGCCAGAGCCTACTCATCAAACAATTTGGATCGCTGATTGATGTGCAAGTCAAATTAAGGCCATCGGTTGTATGTGGTGGGCTAGAAAAATAAATTAATAGAAACTATTGGATTCAATTTATGCAGTCCAAATTGTTTAATGAGAAGATTTCGGCTGCTTAGCTCTGGAGATGATCCGTTCTCATGCGAATGCTTTGAGGATATTGCACGTTATAGTGCGGACCCACTGACTCATGTCCAGCAATTATGGTCCCACCGGTCAAACTCAGTCTCTACCAAAAACAATGTCGTTCTAAACGTGAATGTATGTTACCCAGTCCAGTCCAGTCTCCCACAACTCACGCCTACACCGCCGTTGTAACATCGCGTCAAATATCGCCTTGTCATTAGTAAACCAAATCCAACATCCTCAAGTTTTGCCACTCCTATCTTTTTTGGGCGAGTCTTGCCGAATAATTTGAGGTCGAAATGTCACAAGTTTGAGTTGTAAAATACGAGAAGTTTTGTTAACTTGGAGTCGTCTTTATCTTTCATGTCTTTTTTGTTGAGGGCAAATCTTAACGCAACAAAAAAGTTTGCTTTTTTGTGACAAAATAGACACGAGTTCGAGTCGTGAAAATAGTTTATTTGCAAAACAAGAAAAAAGTTAAGTACAATAGACATTCTTCTTAACCCTCGCATGCACGGAGCCTGTTGGCTTAGAATCACCCTTTTATCCTTCGTGTCTCTCTGTTCACGATCCAAGAAGCCTTAATTTGAAAGGTTGAACATTTTTATTAATTTAAAACATATGTTTACATATTACACAAAGTTATTTTCACAACTGAACAACAACAACAATAACAATAGAAGTTTATATGTTACACAAAGTTGTTCGTTCAACATTACAGAGTCAGATACGGGGAAAAGGATCCGACTAGCATCAAAAAAAAAAAAAAAAGTAGCGGGCCAAAACCCTACTACAACAACACTTCGGGACTAAACTTAAATTCTAAAACAGTAAGGATAACTGTTATTTTTCACAAAGAATGACAATGTGATTTACATATTTAACTTGTACTACGCAAATTTTGAAATCATTATCCCTTCTGCTTTAGCATCGAACATCATCGTTGTTCTCCTTGTTGACCAAAATTCACTCCGTTGGATTCCGGAGTGCCATATTCCGGTGATTTCTTGTCGAAATTGTATGGTGCTGCACTCATCACCCTGCACAGACGAAAACAGAACTCGATATATTATTAGCTGTCCGATTCCAATGAGATAATGTTCACTTCCTCAGTTGCGTTAGTTACTAATCTGCCCGCGTTTCTATTTGAGGTAATAAGTTAGGTCAGCTGTTTAGATTTTCCTCGAAAAGTATAGTAACGTTTGCACAATACGGTACAAAATGCTAATTAATAGAATACCTTTACAAAAAATCCAATCAAAGGCAACTCAACTCAAGCAGGACAGCGGCCAGATGGAAACATCGAGCCCTCGCACTACTAAAACTTTCGAAGGCATGAGGTTCTCCGGTCCCCATACCATATGTGCCATTCACGAGATAACAACAACAACAACAACAACAACAAAGCCTTTTCCCACTAAGTGGGGTCGGCTATATGAATCCTAGAACGCCATTGCGCTCGGTTTTGTGTCATGTCCTCCGTTAGATCCAAGTACTCTAAGTCTTTTCTTAGAGTCTCTTCCAAAGTTTTCCTAGGTCTTCCTCTACCCCTTCGGCCCTGAACCTCTGTCCCGTAGTCACATCTTCGAACCGGAGCGTCATTCGGCCTTCTTTGCACATGTCCAAATCACCGGAGCCGATTTTCTCTCATCTTTCCTACAATTTCGGCTACTCCTACTTTACCTCGGATATCCTCATTCCCAATCTTATCCTTTCTCGTGTGCCCACACATCCCACGAAGCATCCTCATCTCCGCTACACCCATTTTGTGTACGTGTTGATGCTTCACCGCCCAACATTCTGTGTCATACAACATTGCTGGCTTTATTGCCGTCCTATAAAATTTTCCCTTGAGCTTCAGTGGCCTACGACGGTCACACAACACGCCGGATGCATTCTTACACTTCATCCATCCAGCTCGTATTCTATGGTTGAGATCTCCATCTAATTCTCCGTTCTCTTGCAAGATAGATCCTAGGTAGCGAAAACGGTCGCTTTTTGTGATCTTCGCTAGATTGCTCCGGTCATTAGTGTGGATAAGTATATAAATGGATAGAGATAGGAAAGCAAAACACAAGATGTACGTGGTTCACCCAGATTGGCTACGTCCACGGAATAGAAGAGTTCTCATTAATTGTGAAGGGTTTACACAAGTACATAGGTTCAAGCTCTCCTTTAGTGAGTACAAGTGAATGATTTAGTACAAATGACATTAGGAAATATTGTGGGAGAATGATCTCGTAATCACGAAACTTCTAAGTATCGGAGTGTGGTGTCGTCTTGACTTGCCTTATATGTCTCATAGGTAGATGTGGCATCTTCTCTGGAAGTACTCTTCCTCCATCCAGGGGTGGTATCTTTAACTGGTGGAGATGCACAAGGTAATGTATCAATTTCACTTGAAGCTTACTTGTAGTTTCAGGCTTGGTCAAGCGCGATACAAACCATGTAGTAAGAGTCCCCCAAGTCGCCGAGCTAGGGGGTCTGCTGAAAGAGGTGACAGACAAGGTAAGCAATCAGAGCTCCGACTGATTGTTCACCTTCTCCCCATCTTGCAGCAGCATGAAGGATAAAGAGAAGAAAAATGAGAAGAGATGATATGAGATACTTTTGCTTTTGAAGAAGTAACTTTCCACAGGCTTATTCTTGAACTGAGCTGGAGGGTTTTCTGGTTTCCTCCAGAGTATATAAGGCCGACTGAAGAATTTGAGGGTCAAAACAAGTCCATCAAATCTAGAGTACGTTCCACCCTGCTGATATGAGATACTTTTGCTTTTGACAGAGTAATGGATGTATCGGCACGTGTGCTGTTACGCTTGTCTCCACATGCTTCCTTGTATCCTTCGCACTTGCCCTATCTGTTCCTCAAGCAGATGCGGAATCTTCCCTGGAAACATAAGATGTTGAAGATGAGTACTCGAGAGAGCAATGCCAGGTAAGTAATCAGGTAAGGGGTTCCAGGCAGTCAGTTCCTGGCTGGAAGCTTGATTCCAAGTGCTGACTGATTGCTCTCTTTCTCCTTGTCTTGCAGGTAAAAACAAGGCCAAAGGAAAAGACAGGGAAAAAGCATGATATGGGATACTCTTGCTTTTAACCCTGATGATATGAGATATTCTTGCTCTAGTATAGCTTGTTTGCAGAGGTAATATCGGGGGGAAAGAAAGCTGAATATTTCGAAAGGCTTCGTTGGGAGTGCCCTCTCAGATATGATGAAGGGTTGAGCATTTTTGCAGGTCTGCCTGTCTGTTGGGGATGGAGGTCGACATATATAGGAGTCTCCCTAAACAAGTAGTAATGTTATTCCTTTACCCTGCTTGGTCATAGCACGGTAGTGGGAGCTGCCAGTTTCACATGTTTTAACTCTGTCAGAGCACTTTGAAAAAGTGGTCTGTGGTATCTGGCTCTCGAGATTCGGAGAACGATGCCTCTTCGATTTTTGAGAAAGCAATCATGCTGGGGGTCTGGCTCTCGAGATTCGGAGAGCAGTGTCTCTTCGATTTTTGAGAAAGTAATCATGTTGGGAGTCTGGCTCTCGAGATTCGGAGGGCGGTGCCTCTTCGATTTTGGAGCAAGCAATCTTGTTGGGAGTGTTGTCTCGAATGTGAGTAAAGGTTGGGCATGTTTGTTAGTCTACCTTGCCACGAAGCACAAAGGTTGACACACAGGGACTTTCCAATTATCCAGCAATGGTACTGTTCCTTTACCCTCTCTTCGATTTTGAGAAAGTAGTCATGTTGGGAGTCTGGCTCTCGAGGTTCGGAGGACGGTGTCTCTTCGATTTTGGAGCAAGCAATCTTGTTGAGAGTGTTTTCTCGAATGTGAGTAAAGGTTGGGCATGTTTGCTAGTCTACCTTGCCACGAAGCACAGAGGTTGACAAACAGGGACTTTCCAATTATCCAGCAGTGGTATTGTTCATTTACCCTTGTGGGTAATAATATGGTAGCTAGAACTTCAAAATTTATGTGTCTAAACTTTGTTAGTGCTGTTTCTTTGTTATTCTTTTACCTTTCTTGGTCAGAGCGATGTAGTGGGGAGCTGCAAGCTTCACGTGCTCAACTTTGGCAGAGAACTTTGGCAAAGTTATCTGTGGTACCCATGAGCTATTGTTGCGTGTGGGAAGTGGGTGATTGAACAGTAAGATTCATGTGCTTTCTACTTCACCAGAAGTCTTCGACAGAATGCCCATAATTTCTGCAAAGCTGAGTGTGCGTGTGACAGGTGCTGACAAGGCTAGAAAAGTAGGTGCCTCTTCGATTTCTGAGATCGGCCCTCGTGGTCTCTGAGCAGCCCAGCTTTTGAGAAAGCGAGCGCCTCTTCGATTGATTCGGAGAACGATGCCTCATCGATTTTTGAGAAAGCAATCATGCTGCTGGGGGTCTGGCTCTCGAAGATTCGGGGAGCAGTGTCTCTTCGATTTTTGAGAAAGTAATCATGTTGGGAGTCTGGCTCTCGAGATTCGGAGGGCGGTGCCTCTTCGATTTTGGAGCAAGCAATCTTGTTGGGAGGTGTTTTCTCGAATGTGAGTAAAGGTTGGGCATGTTTGCTAGTCTACCTTGCCATGAAGCACAGAGGTTGACACACAGGGACTTTCCAATTATCCAGCAATGGTACTGTTCCTTTACCCTCTCTTCGATTTTTAAGAAAGTAGTCATGTTGAGAGTCTGGCTCTCGAGATTCGGAGGACGGTGCCTCTTCGATTTTGGAGCAAGCAATCTTATTGGGAGTGTTTTCTCGAATGTGAGTAAAGGTTGGGCATGTTTGCTAGTCTACCTTGCCACGAAGCACAGAGGTTGACACACAAGGACTTTCCAATTATCCAGCAGTGGTACTGTTCCTTTACCCTTGTGGGGTAATAATATGGTAGCTAGACCTTCAAAATTTATGGGAGCGATGTAGTAGGAGCTGCAAGCTTCACGTGCTCAACTTTGGCAGAGAACTTTGGCAAAGTTATCTGTGGTACCCATGAGCTATTGTTGCGTGTGGGAAGTGGGTGATTGAACAGTAAGATTCATGTGTTTTCTACTTCCCCAGAAGTCTTCGACAGAATGCCCATAATTTTCGCAAAGCTGAGTGTGCGTGTGACAGGTGCTGACAAGGCTGGAAAAGTAGGTGCCTCTTCGATTTCTGAGATCGGCCCTCGTGGTCTCTGGGGGAGCCCAGCTTTTGAGAAAGCGAGCGCCTCTTCGATTTTTGAGATCAGCCTTCGAGGTCTTTGAGCAGCCCAACTTTTGAGAAAGCAAACGCCTCTTCGATTTCTGAGATCAACCCTCGTGATCTCTAAGCAGCCCAGCTTTTGAGAAAGCAAACGCCTCTTCGATTTCTGAGCAGGCGCCTCTTCGATTTCTGAAGCTCCGTCGAGTGCAGATTTTTATAGGGGCTGGCATTAAGTTCCAAAGCACACTTGAATCTCCACCAGTAGAAGCTTCATTCTTGCACTTCTAAGATCTTGATTTGTCCGACCTCTTCTCTCTTCAACACCTTTTGAAAATGTCTGGCCCCTCCGACCGTCGTTTTGACTTGAACCTTGTTGAAGAGGCAGCCCCGCCTTCTCCAGACAACATATGGCGCCCATCCTTCGTCTCCCCTACTGGTCCTCTTTTACCGTTGGGGATTCCGTGATGAAGAATGATATGACCGCTGCGGTGGTGGCCAGGAACCTTCTCACTCCCAAAGATAACAGACTACTTTCCAAACGGTCTGATGAGTTAGCTGTTAAGGATTCGCTGGCTCTCAGTGTTCAGTGTGCAGGTTCTGTGTCTAATATGGCCCAACGCCTATTTGCTCGAAACCCGCCAAGTTGAATCATTGGCGGCTGAAGTGATGAGTCTCAAACAGGAGATTAGAGGGCTCAAGCATGAGAATAAACAGTTGCACCGGCTCGCACATGACTATGCTACAAACATGAAGAGGAAGCTTGACCAGATGAAGGAAACTGATGGTCAGGTTTTACTTGATCATCAGAGATTTGTGGGTTTGTTCCAAAGGCATTTATTGCCTTCGTCTTCTGGGGCTGTACCGCGTAATGAAGCTCCAAATGATCAACCTCTGATGCCTCCTCCTTCTAGGGGTTCTGTCCAGTACTGAGGCTCCAAATGATCCCCCTCCGGTGCCTTCTCTTTCTGGGGCTCTACCGACTGCTGAGACTTCTCCTAAGCAACCTTTGTGAAGGCTCCCTCTTGTGTGTTTATTTTGACTCGTGTATATGTACATATTTGTAGCTTATCGGGGATATCAATAAATAAGCTTTCCTTCATTTTCAACGTATTGTGTTAGATACACCCAAAGCCTTCTTCGCTAAGTTCTTTGAATTTTCTTTTGTTGAAGCTTGTATGTTGAAGCTTTCTGAGTGGAGCATGTAGTTTGGGGTAGTGTTTCCCTTAATTTTCCGAGTGAGGAAAACTTCTCGGTTGGAGACTTGGAAAATCCAAGTCACTGAGTGGGATCGGCTATATGAATCTTAGAACGCCATTGTGCTCGATCATGTGTCATGTCCTTCGTTAGATCCAAGTACTCTAAGTCTTTTCTTAGAGTCTCTTCCAAAGTTTTCCTAGGTCTTCCTCTACCCCTTCGGCCCTGAACCTCTGTCCCATAGTCGCATCTTCTAATCGGAGCGTCAGTAGGCCTTCTTTGCACATGTCCAAACCACCGTAACCGATTTTCTCTCATCTTTCCTTCAATTTCGGCTACTCCTACTTTACCCCGGATATCCTCATTCCTAATCTTATCCTTTCTCGTGTGCCCACACATCCAACGAAGCATCCTCATCTCCGCTACACCCATTTTGTGTACGTGTTGATGTTTCACCGCCCAACATTCTGTGCCATACAGCATCGCCGGCCTTATTGCCGTCCTATAAAATTTTCCCTTGAGCTTCAGTGGCATACGGCGGTCACATAACACGCCGGATGCACTCTTCCACTTCATCCATCCAGCTTGTATTCTATGGTTGAGATCTCCATCTAATTCTCCGTTCTTTTGCAAGATAGATCCTAGGTAACGAAAACGGTCGCTCTTTGGTATTTCTTGATCTCCGATCCTCACCCCTAACTCGTTTTGGCCTCCATTTGCACTGAACTTGCACTCCATATATTCTATCTTTGATCGGCTTAGGCGAAGACCTTTAGATTCCAACACTTCTCTCCAAAGGTTAAGCTTTGCATTTACCCCTTCCTGAGTTTCATCTATCAACACTATATCGTCTGCGAAAAGCATACACCAAGGAATATCATCTTGAATATGTCCTGTTAACTCATCCATTACCAACGCAAAAAGGTAAGGACTTAAGGATGAGCCTTGATGTAATCCTACAGTTATGGGAAAGCTTTCGGTTTGTCCTTCATGAGTTCTTACGGCAGTCTTTGCTCCTTCATACATATCCTTTATAGCTTGGATATATGCTATTCGTACTCCTTTCTTCTCTAAAATCCTCCAAAGAATGTCTCTTGGGACCCTATCATACGCTTTTTCCAAATCTATAAAGACCATGTGTAAATCCTTTTTCCCATCTCTATATCTTTCCATCAATCTTCGTAAGAGATAGATTGCCTCCATGGTTGAGCGCCCTGGCATGAACCCGAATTGGTTGTCCGAAACCCGTGTCTCTTGCCTCAATCTATGCTCAATGACTCTCTCCCAGAGCTTCATTGTATGACTCATTAGCTTAATACCCCTATAGTTCATGCAATTTTGTACGTCGCCCTTATTCTTGTAGATAGGCACCAAAGTGCTCGTTCGCCACTCATTTGGCATCTTCTTCGTTTTCAAAATCCTATTGAAAAGGTCAGTGAACCATGTATATACCTGTCTCTCCCAAAAGTTTCCACACTTCGATTGGTATATCGTCTGGGCCTATTGCTTTTTTTATGCTTCATCTTCTTCAAAGCTACAACCACTTCTTCCTTCCGGATTCGACGATAAAAAGAGTAGTTTCTACACTCTTCTGAGTTACTCAAACTCCCCTAAAAGAAGCACTCATTTCATGTCCTTCATTGAAAGAGATTATGAAAATAACCTCTCCATCTGTCTTTAACCGCGTTCTCTGTAGCAAGAACCTTTCCATCCTCATCCTTGATGCACCTCACTTGGTTTAGGTCCCTTGTCTTCTTTTCCCTTGCTCTAGATAGTTTATAGATATCCAACTCTCCTTCTTTGGTATCTAGTCGTTTATACATATCGTCGTAAGCCGCTAACTTAGCTTTCTCTGACAGCTTTCTTCGCCTCTTGCTTCGCTTTTCTATACCTTTCACCATTTTCATCGGTCATCTCCTTGTATAAGGCTTTACAACATTCCTTCTTAGCCTTCACCTTTGTTTGTACCTCCTCATTCCACCACCAAGATTCCTTTTGGTGTGGGGCAAAGCCCTTGGACTCTCCTAATACCTCTTTTGCTACTTTTCGGATACAACTAGGAATCCCACATTTGGCTAGCTTCCCCTCTCTATCCCCCTTATCCCACACACATTGGTGATTACCTTTCTCTTTGAAAATGGCTTGTTTTTCTTCTTTTAGATTCCACCATCTAGTCCTTGGGCACTTCCAAGTCTTTGTTCTTTTGTCTTACTCTTTTGATATGTACATCCATCACCAACAAGCGATGTTGATTAGCCACGCTCTCTCCTGGTATAACTTTGCAATCCTTACAAGTTATACGATCCCCTTTCCTCATTAGAAGAAAATCTATTTGTGTTTTTTGACGACCCACTCTTGTAGGTGATCACATGTTCTTCTCTCTTCTTAAAGAAGGTGTTGGCTAAGAGAGATCATATGCCATTGCAAAAATCCAAGATAGCTTCCCCATCCTCGTTTCTCTCCCCAAAACCCATGGCCACCATGAAAACCTCCATAGTTGCCTGTCTCCCTGCCAACGTGTCCATTTAAATCTCCTCCTATAAATAACTTCTCCGTCTGAGCAATTCCTTGCACCAAGTCTCCAAGATCTTCCCAAAATTTCTCCTTCGAACTCGTATCCAACCCTACTTGAGGTGCGTACGCACTAATCACATTGATAAGTTCTTGTCCTATTACAATCTTGATTGCCATGATTCTATCTCCTACCCTCTTGACATCTACAACATCTTGTACCAAGGTCTTATCCACGATTGATGCCAACACCGTTTCTCGTTCGTTCTATTGTGCCCGAATACCAAAGTTTAAACCCTGAGTTTTCTAGATCCTTTGCATTACTACCAACCCACTTAGTTTCTTGTAGGCACATAATATTTATCCTTTTCCTCACCCATAACTTCCACTACTTCCATAGATTTTCCCGTTTAAGGTTCCTATATTCCACGTTCCTAAACGCATTTTGCTCTCTTGAACTCTACCCTTCTGTCCTAGCTTCTTCACCCTCCCCCCCGTCTAATAGGATCAAAGTACTTCTTTTTGTGTGTCCCGTGTAAAGTTGATAGAGCATATGCTCCCAAACAACTTTGAGTGGAGTCGTTCGAAAAAGAAGTTTCTATGGCCCCTTCTTGTCATTTAACACTGCATCCGGTGCCGATGGATATACAGCGACCCTTGCTCACTTATCACTGTGCTCGGGCCACACAGCGCGCCACTTACGGGTGACGCCCTAGCTTTAGCGCGATTTTGTTCTGGATTCATTTTCATAAGGATTCGACGTGATCATGGAGTGCCGGCTGTCGACTACCTGACGCCCTCCCCCTCCTCCTTTATCCGGGCTTGGGACCGGCCATGTAAGACATAGGCGGAGTTATTCACGAGATAACCTCAGAAAAAATAGCCAACTCTACAGACCATAGGTTCTTATGTACAAAAAAGGCCCTAATTCTTACTCAGATGGACCGTGAGCAATTCATAATAGTTTCCATAATAATATAGTTGGAATTAACGAAAATCACCTTTCCTTGCGCTTCTCTAAAAATCGAGCCAAGGATGCTTTGCGAGCCTGTGGAACAGCTGTACAGAAAAGCATATGCCAGTTTAGATGGCAAACGTTGTCCAATCAAGGGGGGAAAAGGGCAAAAGGTTGTGATCACATATCTGAGATTGCACACAAAAAATACTCTTTAAGTTAAGAACCAACTTTCAATAACAGAGTATCATACCAGAAGGAATCATAGAAGTCGCAGCAACAGATCGAACTGCATTTGCTGTTTCTGGAGCCTCCATTTTGTTAACAGGACTGGTTGGACGTCCGGTCGTTCTAGCTGACATTAGTTCATCAGTGCTGGAGGACCCACTTACTGACTGGGAACCAGTATGTGAAGAAACAGATGATAAGGGGCTAGAAAGAGCAGGTGGGGGTATATTTGTACGCTGATTCACAGGAACACCGTCTTCCGCTGCCAACTTTGCACTCGGTGCTTGAGCTTTGGGCTGTGCAGCACTAGAGGAGTTAGAACAACTGTTTCCAGCCAAAAGCATCAGTGCCTGAGCCTGAAAAGACATCCCTAAACAATTTTAGAGCTCACTTAAGACCCAATAGAAGGTTGTCAACAAGAAAAGCCTGTGTTTTCATGTGTGCGCTGGGCGGGTGTGTCTGTGTGTGTTTGACCTATAGAGTGAGGGGAGGGTACCTTCTCAGGGGAGATATCATCATAGACATTCACAGTACCAGCGTAAAAGATTGTCAATTGTGAAGGTGACCCAGAGGTCTTGACATTGTTCCTACAAAGAATGTTTTAACAAACCTCAGAATTCAATTGTTTTTATGAAATGGTCGGCCAAGGACTTGAGCATAATATTAAAAATTACCACGGCTCAGTGATCCCAGCAATGGAACCACCTGTAACGGGAAGAGCTGAAGGTGGAGCCGTATGCTTCATGGTAGTTGTGGAAAAATTCTGACCAGTAGTAGTAAAGTGATTCTTCAAGTAAGGGTTGCTCATTGGAACAGAAATCCCTTGACTGGTACTGAAATCATCTTTGTGTCATGAGGACGGTGCACAGAATGCATATAACGTTGCCTAGGATAAGCTGTCAGAGAAAAATGAATCCCACCTTGCCTATCGTGATTGAAGTTCTTCTAGATAATAAAAAACACAAACCAATGAGGCGAAGGGCAGCAACAATATCAGAAGACACTATTTGATCCTGATCTTCCCAACACATCAATTATTCACGGCGGTATTATTAACCAAAGAAAGAATCAAATCGATCTAGAAGTCAAATATACAAAACACAAGGAGAATGACATGATAATTAACCAACAACGGCGACAACATATACCTGAGATTCACATGTAGTTTGTTTTTGACAAGGGTCAAATGCACCCGCAGAGACGGAAGACAAGAATGAATCAGGTACCATTTTTTTAGTCCTATCATCTTGAGCAGCTTTGAAGGACATAAACTGAGGAACTGCAGAGACCTGGCTTAGAAAGGGCCAATGTGCCCTTCCACCTCTTCCATACCCTATACATTACAAACAAATAAATCAATTACTAGTGCACCTCTGCTGGGAAATTTTTGAATACCATAAACAATCACATCTTAAAGATAAATTGTTCACTGTTTGTTTTTTAACCGAGCGATATTCTAATTAATCTAATCTAAACTATAAGGGATGGATAAGGTTCTAAAAGACGCTAGACGCTAGTCGGGCGGTGAGCTGGGGCCTAGCGCCTAGGTGACCAGGCAAGGTCTAGGCGGATTTAACTAAATCCTTTATACTTCATGTAAATAAGTGTATGTTTATACTTAAAATATATATAATTTCATCATAAACTACAAAATAGGATGACACATATATTATGAAGCATTGAAACATAATGAAAACATAGGGAGCAAGCATATAATGTGTGATTATTTAAGGATTCAACAAGTGTCTTACAATTTATTGAAAAAAAAGTAAAATGCAAAATGAAAGTTATCTATTTTCTGCCTTAGTGAGTTGCGGATGTTTGGGCAGGCTAGGCGGGTGTCTGCGATCTAAGTGGGCACCTCAGCAGGTTTAGGCGTTCTTTCTTAATTTTCAAATGACTAGACATTAATCGAGGCGGTGGCCGCTAGCGTCTAGGTTAGGTGGGGATTTTTAGAAGAGTGTTTGTAAACCAAATTCAAATATAGACAAACCATAAAAAAACAAGCATTACGTACTTTCTACTAAAATTCAAACCATTTAATCATTTCTAATAACTGACCAGCTATGCAAATTTAAAATTGCTCAACTCCAATTGAACTAGAAAATAACACATAATTCATATACCAAAAGCTCAAAAATTCCAAATTTAAAAATTTGAAAAGCTGAAAACTTTCTGTGACTAAAAGACAAATGGGAAAATCACAGACCTGGGTCTTTGCCGCCATCGTTGTTGGTCTCCTCCTTCACCACAACCACTGGCTCCTTTGAGTTCAAACCCAAGAAATCTCTCTCCATCTCAGCCCACCACAATCACTCAAAAAGAATAAAAGCATACAAAAAAGTCGACCTGAAAAAAATCTAACACTATAAATCCTTCAACCAAAATCCCGAGCTGGCTGAGAGTTACAAGGAAAATGCTTCCGCCTTCAGCAAACAAAATATAAAGAAATTACAGGGTCCCGAGTCTAGAGAGAGAAGGAAGAGAGACAGAGAGAGAGGGAGTTTGCTTTGACAAGGAAGGGAGAATTATAAGAGATCACGACCGTTGAATTTTATAAAGTGTCCTGCTAAGGTGACCGGCTGGGCAGGTAATGGAACCACGTGCGCGAAACGTTCGAGCGACGTGGATTGGTTCCCAGTCCCACCTGCGAGTGGAGAAATGAGTGGTAGCGCAACGGTGCACCACGTGATTAGATTGATAATTGATTGGATAACCTCCTGAAAAAATAGATAGGCATTTATATCGGTAAATTACAAAAAATTATTTCAATTATTGATGTCACGACATTTTCATACTTCATCTTTTAAAATTGACAATGCCATACCTCATCTTACAAATTTGTGTCAAGGTTATACATTCCGTTAGCTTAGCGTGAATTTCTCAGTTAAATGTTGAAGTGGCTTGATCGAGAGCCCATTTTCTATTAAAAAATTATTAAAAACTAAAAAAAATCATTTAATATTTTGTAAATATTAAAATAATAAATAAAAGTGAAATTTTCATACTTCATCTTTTAAAATTGACAATGTCATACCTCATCTTACAAATTTGTGTCAAGGTTATACATTCCGTTAGCTTAGCGTGAATTTCTCAGTTAAATGTTGAAGTGGCTTGATCGAGAGCCTATTTTCTATTAAAAAATTATTAAAAACTAAAAAAAATTATTTAATATTTTGTAAATATTAAAATAATAAATAAAAGTGAAAAAAAAAAAGCCAACACTCAGTTCATCCCCTCCCCCCTTCCCTCTCTTCTCCTCATCTTCATCTTCTTCCCCCTTCTTGCAACTGCAACCCAGAGAAAAAAAAAAAAAAAAAAACCAATTTGTCTTCCCCTCTCCCACCCCCTCTTCTCCCCTCACTCACTCTCCACACCCAACCTTTCCACCTTCCATGAACTGGGTTTCCTTTTTTTTTCCTTCTCTCTTCTTCTTCTGCAAGTTGGGTGGGGGGAGACTAGGTTTACTTTTTTTTTTTTCCTTTTTCTTCTTCCTCCTTCTTCTTCTTTCTGGGTTTGTTGTGGGGGGGGGGGGAAATCGGTTGGGTTGGGGTTTTTCTTTTTTCTTTTTATTTTCTTTCTTCTTCTTCTTCTTCTTCCTTTCCTTATCCTTCTTTTTTCTAGGTTGGGGGGGGGGGAACTGGGTTGGGTTGGGGTTTTTCTTTTTTCTTTTTTTTTTCTTTCTTCTTCTTCTTCTTCTTCCTTTCCTTATCCTTCTTTTTTCTAGGTTGCAGGAGGTTGGGTTTGTGGTGTGGGGAGGGGGGCGAACTGGGTTGGGTTGGGTTTTTTTTTTCTTCTTCCTCATTCTTCTTCTTTTTGGGTTTGTTTGGGGGGGGGGAACTCGGTTAGGTTGGGTTTTTTTTTTCCTTCCTCCTTCTTTCTAGGCTGCAAAGTTTTCAAGCTCTTTTCATTAGTTTTTTTTTTAATTTACTTTTCTTTATTATTTTAATATTTAAAAATATTAAATATTTTTTTTAGTTTTTAATAATTTTTTAATAGAAAGTGGGCCTCGAATCAAGCCACGTCAGCATTTAACTGAAAATTTAACGGCCAAATAACGGAAAGTATAATATTGGCACAAATTCGTAAGATGAGGTATGACATTGTCAATTTTAAAAGATGAGGTATGAAAATGTTGTGATACCAATAGTTGAGGTAGTTTTTTGTCATTTACCCTTAAATATAACTAGCAAATAGCACATATTTTGTGTGTGTGAACAATTGTCCACCTCTTTCCACGTTTTTCTCAAGCGCAACCGCTCTAGTTCATTCAAACTATCAAAAAAAAATCATGATTTCACTTACCTGTATGAAAAAATGATGGTGGGACAATTTCTCTTAATAAGTGCATATTTTTATCTTATGTAAATATTTTCATACAAATTTACTATTTTGTCCTCCTTATGTAAATATTGCGTATCAAAAGCGAGGGCAAAAAGTTCAAAAGGTACAAAATTACTATTTTACCCTTCTCATGTCAACATTGCGTATTCAAAAGTAAGGGCAAAATGTTTTCAAAAAAAAAAAGTAAGGCCAAAATTGAAAAACATGGGCAAAAAGTTGACAATCCCTCTTCTTTTAATAGAATATATAATACAATTACTTGATATCCACACATCCCATTTTACTTCTCACACACCTTTTTAATTTTCGACCGTCGAATCGGATGAATTGAAGAAGATCAATAGACATAAATTATCAAGAGGTGTGTGAAAAATAAAATGAGGTGTGTGGATAGCGCACCCCTTAGTTAAAAATTTAAAAATAAAACTTCAGTCATTTGAATTGCAACACTTGATATAGCGTGTACTGAAAAATTTCTCTAAGCATAAGAGCCTAGCTAATTGTGAATGCGATTCATTTTCTCGTGTTGATTTATTTTTGGGATAAATCTAAAAAGTGAGTATATATGATACTCTATAATAAGTAAGTAAGTATTATTCAAAAAATAACACGACAATCACTAATTAAAGGCTAATTGATCTTCCTACTGTGAGTAGTGAGTATGCTATCCTCCTATGGACAATATTCAATCCCAACTTTACGTGTCACGATGTTTTTGAAATTGTGGAGAGCATATCAGCATTAAAAAAAAAAAAAAACTAATGAAAAAGACTTGAAAATTTTGAGTTTTAACGATAAGAACAAAATAAAGGGTAAAATGAATAGTACCAGGATTAATTTTTTAATATAAAAATATGATTTTTCGTTAAAATGAATAATTAATTTTAACTTTCTTAGTGAACTCTAATCATTTTCTTTCATTTTTTATCTGTATTATATTAAACTTTTATATTCTAAAAATTTTATATTTATTTATGGGTATTATCTCTACTTGATTGGATTGGAGCATGTGCACACAATCTTAAGTCACATTTTAATTTAAGATGGCAAACGAGTGTCTATTTTTAAACTCTCTAAAAGATAAAGAAAGGACGGGGGCACCATACATGGTACTTCTCGACCGTGTCTTTAAGGGACAAGGGGTTGATAGCGAGATCTCGAATCAACTTATTGGTCTTATGGTATATCTTAGTATAGAGGATGATACCAAAGATCTATATTTGTTTATAAATTCTCCTAACAGATGGGTAATACCCAGAGTAGCTATTTTTGATTACTATGCAATTTGTGCCCACCATATATACAGACAATATGCATAGAATTAGCCGCTTCAATGGAATCTTTTATTCTGGTCGGAGGAGAAATTACCAAACGTCTAGCATTCCCTCACGTGCCAATAAAATATTCAACCATGTCATTCATAGTATGCCTTCAATTTCTCCTCCTAGGAAATTTTGAGGCTCTCTCAATTCTCAAGTATGACTGTGAGGCGACACGTGTCCCCCACTCGTTTAATTTGTGAGTTGCACCACAAGAAGCCATGTGTTGCACAAGAAAAACGTTTTTTTTTTGTTTTGATTTATTTTTCTTTTTATATAAAGCATGGCCCTTTTATTGTCCTTTTTGTTCCCATAATTTTTTGAGGTCTATATTCTAGATCTGTAATCTGAACGTATATGCACATGATAGAGGGATTTGGATCCTCGTCGGATCCCCTCCCTGGGGATTCTAGGGATAAACACACGTGGACCGTTGATAAAAAATCGTATGGTCCCGATTAAATACTTTTTATATTTTAAAAAATAAAGCAGCCTCGTTTTGCATGAAAAATATAAAAAATGAAAAAACTGTGGTTGTACGATTTTTTATCAACGGTCCACATGAGTTGATCCCTATGATTCCTAGGGAGGGGATCCGACGATGATCCAAATCCATGATAGATTACATATAATATCTAACCATTCTTAGTTTCCAAAAAAAAAAAAAAAAACCATTCTTTGCTTTTAAGTGCAATCAATATTTTAAATTTTAATGCAACAAACAACTCATTTAACCCATATAGTTTGTAATGAAAAAAATCTCATATATGAATTGGATGTAAAAGTTTTCGCAGTTTAGTATTAATAGTATCGGTATTGTTCAAACTAATCATCCGTGCAATCAATAAGTTCAGTATTTTATGCAAAATGTCTCAATACAGTTAAAAGTGAAACCATTTAATATAAGTTGTAATTTGTTTTGTAAAATGACCGATATCAAACCTTTTGTTTTATTCAACATTGAAGACTCCTAATATTTTTTTTTTTTTGAAGAACTGGAAATAACACCAGGGCCGAAGGCAAACGAACAAAGAAGCCCATAGAAGGCAAGCTCAAAGAAAGCAACAAACAACAAGTAGAGGAGGAGGGTACATAAGTATAAGACGCTGCACCTAGTGCAAAGACGTCGCCCCCTCCACTGCCAGAACAAAAATTAAGAAGGATAGGGCAACCCATCTTTTTTATTTTAAAACGCTTTTTTATTTTTCTTAATGTGACAGAGCCTACCTAGGGGGAGGAATGAGGTAGGTTAGGTATATCTATAAAATTTGTATGCACTTGTTAGGTACGTAGGGTGGGTGCGATTAATTTTTGTTCACCCATACAGTTGGATTTGCATGTGGTGCTCCTCATGTAGTAAATGCAACATTCTTTTCTTTCTTTAGGCCTCGCCAAACTCTGCACATCGCTCTTGTTCTAGCAAAAATCGATTTAAAAGTTAAGATTTTATCTTAAAATTAATTATTGACACGGTTTATTATTTTTCCAATGTTGAAATTCATGCTAATACTTAAATATCTGCGTGGTTAAAAGAAATTTCAAGTTCGACGACTCACGATGTAGGAACGATACATACATACATACATACATATATATATATATATAATATAGTGAAGTAGATACTAAATTATCCAACACTGTACAAGTAAAAGATTTCTTATTATGAATTTTACCATTCATAAAATCGATTTTGTACATTTCAATTTGAATTAGGAACTCCATGTACAAAACATAATATTCAGTATTTCGAGTGTTTTAATCATTAAATTTTGATTTCGGTATATTTTTAAATTCTGAGTCCCATAAGTATTTATCAGTTGAATTTTAAAGCTGTAACAAAGCAAAATATTAACGCTAGCGGGGCCTAAAACAGTGACTAAAAAGTAATTAACAGCAAAACAATATCTGCATCAAAATTACAAAGATGAAAATTCATTAAGATTTCTGCATTGGTAAATCAAAATCACAGAAAAATACATGCTTCATCGTATGTGCATATAAGGTGAAAAAATGGGTATCCAAAATGTAGTTTGGCTGAAGAATTACAACGTGAACGGGAGAAGCAAATGCAAGAAGATACTGACGGCTCAAACCTTACACAGGAGCAGCAGCTGAACCGCTCGTAAGTGGTTCACTTATCTCAAGGAGGTCATTACACAGCCCTGTGAAGACAACCGAATCTGTTTCGATGGGTTTGAACTTGACAAGAGCCGAGGGCATCAGATCCTCATCAGCTAGTGTTGCTGCTTTCTTTCCTGCTGCTGGAAAATGAGGGATCACCCGCCGTTTGAGGGCTACAGGATTTAACAGCTCGAATTCCAAACTAGGCTCTTTCAGTGCTGAGCTCACATACTGGTTCATCGAGAACCAGCAATAAGAAAAAGAATTAAAAAAAAATTGTTGAACTCTTGACTTGAAATAAATGCACCAGTAAGGAACAATTTGCAGCCCGCCAGAACACTCAAACACGAATACTCTATATGTATCACGTGTTGGATTTGTTTTCATTTCCCTCATTTTGGGCTGGCTGCGTAATAATTTTCCAAGCAAACTTGTTCTAGACATCGCAGACTACATCTGTATTCGAACATAAAAAACTAAACATATTATGCAGGACAATACATGAAATCTCAAAAAGCTGGAGAGGATGCAGATTCCGATAGCTGTTGACAAGTTTGCTTGGAAAATTAGTATGAGAGCTGAAAAAGAAGCAGAAACTTGTTCCAACATATGTATATGCACACTCCTACAGAATATTTATTTCACCCTGTTGTACTATATAAAACTTGCTATACTCTAGAATGACGATTGATTAAGAGATTAGGAGGATGGTAAAAGACTAACCTCGTACAAAGAGCTGGTTGGCTCCAAAGGAGAAAAAACACCCTGGAGCACCACTCCATCGGGAAACTGGATCCGGATAACAGTTTTTCTGTATCTCCTTTTAGCAGCTTTTGCCTGCTTTTCCTTGAATGACTTTGGGATCAACATCTGTGAATCTTCAATCTTCTTCTTTCTCATTTCAGCTTCTCTTTTCAGCTCCGTAGCTGAGAGGTTGTAGAAAGATGCTGGTACCTCAATTCTTGCTGCCACACTTTCAGAGACCGAAAAGAAGACCCTCGTCTGCACAAGAAAAAAAGTTCGGTGAACCAGAAATAGTTAATTGAAAGAAAATGGATGACATAAATCTGAAACAGGAAGCACTACAAATCACAAAGCGAAGGGAATCCCACAATATCAAATACAGGGTGTATTTAACTTTAATAGTAAAAAAAATGGCAATACCAAACAACGGAATCATTTGAAGTTATTAAACAGAGAATAAACGTAATATGAGCACTGATCTATAATCAGTTTGATCATTTCAATGATTACCAGAAATTTAGAAAACTTAATAACAAGGACATTGGACCAGAACATTTTTTTTTTCTGATTTCCAACAAACATCAAGATGAACCTTAGCAATGGAATTTTTCTGTATAATATCATCATTTAAACTTTAGTTTTGGGCTGCAGTGCTTTTATCATCATTTAACTGGAGTCTTCTGATGAAATTTTTGGTTTATTCAAGAGTGTGCCTTGATTTTTCTTTCATCAAAAGCCATCTTCATACCTGGTGATTGACTAAATGGAATTGGACAAGCTATATGCTATTACGATAAGAAGTCACTTCTTTACATGCTGCCTAACAGCCTACTTCAAAACCAGGCTAGTTGACCAATTCCAATGAACGCGCAGCTAAGCGTTGTTGAAAATCAATGCAACAGTCTCAAGACAATCAATTGACTCATAAATCCTATACAAATTTAGAAGTAGCCGCCATAGGTTGATCACTTATGATTTTAAGTATTGCTTTCCAATCTTTTCAATTTCCTAATCCAATCAACGCTGAAATTCTATAATCCTCTCGTAACATACATTTATAACTTTTGGGAAGGATATTCCCAAGACATAAAGTAAATGATCAATGATTATTAGCATGCTGACACTGCCATAAAAGATGAAACAAAAATGAACAAGAAACCAAGGATAGACTGATGGTTAATACAGTAAACAGCATAAAGAGTTAGCATACCTGCCGGTCAACCTTCCTTGGTTCAACTGGTTCATCCACCTTCAATGAAGCAATGGATGCCGAAATATCTACTTCTTGTACCTTCGGCGGTTCCAGTAATGCTATTCCCCTTTTCATCAAATTAATTTGTTCTTCCCTTGGAACCTCCATTACCGCCCACATCTCCCCATCCTCCTCTTTCAATTCAAACCCCACAAACTCCAGCAACTCAATGCCTCCCACAACCTCACCAAGGGACTCCCTTATCTTCGGATTACTCATCCGAATCCTTCTAAACTTCACGTTCTCCGGTTCCTTAACTATATTCCTCAACAGCCTCAGAACAACCTCAACTGACCCGGCAGCCGGATTTCCTGAAGAAAATGTACCAATGCGAGCTTCCAATTCGCTCCTCGACGACTCAGACCCGTTATCCGGCGACCGCGAAACGCCAACACCCTCCACACTTTTGTTCTCCACCGAAGTATTAGCACAGCTATCTACATGTACGGAGACCTCGTCTTCCGACCTAAACGATTGCCCGCAAATCGGACATTCGAAGACATTTAGCGTAAACCCGTTCTGGGATCTCTTCCCCGGCGTGATCAGAGCGTCAAACGGATCAAACCCAGTTTCTGTTTTTCGATCAGGCTTCGAATTGAACGACGGCTCCGCCTGGCTCTGATCAGGAATTTGCGCTTTCTCCTGATGAATAATCTGCGTTTTCTGTGGCGAAGGCTTGGGATTTGGGGAGGCGACCGAAGAATTTGAATTTGAATTCGAATTCGGGACGGGTTTGGGATTGGAATGGGGAGTCTGCTTAGGGCGAATGAGGACCGAATCGGCGGGGCCAGAGGAAGAAGACGATCCCAAGACTCGGCCTTGGCCCTTGAATTTACCGGAGGACGAAGACGAGAAGGTGTTCTTCATGAAGCCCTTGAACTTGTCTTTCATGTCGATGTATTGAAAGAAGAAGAAGAAGAAGAGGAGCTGAATCAAATCAAAGATTGATACGAAGCGGAATGGGGAGATGAAATTAGGGTTAGAGAGGGGGATTCTGGGTCAAGGGAATGGGGAAAAGCGTGGCGGATAGGAATTTGGATTGCACTGGACTGGATTAAGAGAGCAAGTGCCTTGGTTGCTTCTCCTTTCCTGGTTGACTTTCCCTCGATTACCCGGTGTTCGTTGGATAATTTTCCCCGCCAAACGGCCTTGCGACCTTCACAGGCGCGTTTTTGTTTTTCTTTTCCTGTCAGTTTAATATTTTAATACTTTTTACAAATACACCAACCAGAGATTGCATTTTTAGAGTAGGACTATTTTTGGCTGGTGAATTTGTAAAAGGGCTACTAAGCCCAATTTCAGTTTTACTTTTTAGATGGTGGTGCCAGGATCTTTTTACTTGTCAATTGAGCGAGAAAGGATCGTGTTTGTTTGTGTTTTTTTTTTTGGTTAAACGATAGATTTTGTTAGATTAGATCTTAGATTAGTTATCGATGAAATTTAACCCCACGCTGTTATGTAAGAGCTCAACACTTTTTCACTACTGTAGTAAAAAGCCACTTACCAACATGTTAAAGCTGATTGGTAAAAGAATTTGAAATCCAAACCTAACTCATATTATTCGTTTATAACTATGTTCATTTTTGGCGAATCCAACTTAAAACATAAAGTATAATTTTCTAATCATGTGAACTTAAAACATGACACTCGCGAAGAGAAGTGGGAGGCTTGGGACAACCGGGAGGATGCATTTCTAATCGTGCATCGTTTCTTCTTCTGACAATCAAATCAAATCAAAACAATTGCTTTCCCTACATCACCAAAATTGACGACGACGGCCCTATGTGCATCGTTTGTTCTTCTGACAATCAAATAAAGGGCAAAGGAACATACTATTTCGGCCAACGTTTATCCATGTATCTTCCTACTGATTAGCACTAGTGATCGTTCGGATAAGCATGACGATCACCCTGCTGTAAATTGGAAAAAGGAACATCTTCCTCGGCTGGAAAGGGAATTGCACGATGCCTGGTGTTCCGAGAATTGGGGGCGTGGAAGGGAAGCGATAGCAACTGGAGTGCCATACCAGTCAAGATGATTAGGGTCGTGGAGATGGGCAAGTTCACAACTTCACAATCGCCTAGACTTCTCATGAAGCCACGGCCAACTCAGTGCCTGGTTTTTCTAAGAATAGATCCCCCAACCAACAAGCTCCATCCAGAGACCTACAGAGTAAGAAGGCAACCGAATTCCAATGCCTTCTGAAAGAAAATGGCTTTCCACTTTTCAAACAAGCAGCGGTCGGCTCCCTACAAATGGAGAGGGTCGTAACTGAAACATCATGAATGCGGGGATGACCCAGTTCAGGGAGCTTACCTCTAAGCTAGGTTTACTAGGACACTTCATTGCAGACAACGGCAATGTATGATCAACACAAACAACCCTATTTTCCTTAAGCAGCCAGCTAGATTAGACGCTTGGCCTCTTTGCTTAGCAGGTGGCCAAGTTCTGGTTTTGAGGCTGCCTTCTAGATCCATGCCGCTATGCCTTCTACAATTCTAATAGAACATACTATGTCTTCCTTCCGTCAGCTCAGCACAAGCTTAACGAGTGAACGGAAACTAAGTTGAGGCTAAGAACTAAAGGAAGAAACACAAAGCGCGAGCAACACAGCCACCCCCTGATAATTCAAAGGCATAGTAAGTCATTACACGAGCCTACTGGATTAAGTTGTAAAAGGCTAAACGGATCGTGCTTATCATTAGTCTATGGCACCTTAATCTCGATTCTCTAGTCCATCTACATCAACAATTGACCAGAAAATGCCAGTCCATCTGTTACGATCAACGCCTAAATGGGGCATTTATCAGCCATAATCACTCATTAAACCTCACAAACCCAAATGCATATTAATCTAAACTAATAAATACCCAAATCACAAGTTATCTCCAAGTAATCTAAATTCAGTCTCCAACAAACAAAATTATAAAATATATAGAGATGAAGACTCAAAAAATATTGATAATACATAATTATACTAACAACATTCCCAGAAATTCAGAGACAGATTAGTAATTTCCAAGTGCCAGATTAAAATCAAAACCCTAATGGCTAATGCCACAACACTATAACATCACATAACACAGAAATTCAAAAATCCGATATAAACTAAGTTCCAAAATCGGATATAAACGAAGTGCAATTAACCCAATCTCTCCATCGAAACACAAAATAAAGCTAAAAGACTGGAAATCGAAATGCAAACCGAGTGGATTCAGTCGCGATTCTTCAAGCGCTCGACGCGCTGGTTCAACTGCTCGATGCGGACAACGAGGTGGGTGACGGTGTAGAGGAGCCAGTAGAAGATCAAGGCGGCGGCGATCAAGAGCGCGTTGCGCTGGCTCTTCATGATCGACTTCTGGTGGCGGAGGTACTCCGAGGGAGTGCAGGAGTCGCCTTCGCAGCTCGGGCGAGTCTCGTACTTCCAGTAGATGTCCATGAGCAAGAAGAGGCAGAACGGCACCACTGAGAGAAACGGTTTGAGGAGGTTGCGGGTGACAGTGACGAGGCCCTTGCGGAGGCCGTCGAGGCCGGGGATCGTGAGGAGGAGCACCATGATCGCCTCCGCGGCAGCGGCGTACCCGAGGACAACCCACTCCAACGCCATCGGATCTCTGTGCTGCTCGCTTTTCCGGTTCTGGTTTTTTGGGAAATTTCAGAAATATGCTTTGCTTCGTGAGGAACGACCTCTCTCGATTTCTCTCAGCGCCTTAAACTGGCCCGATGAAATTGTTGGAGGACCGGGTGAGTTAGTAAAGTTTTGGGAAAATTCGACGCGTGGCGGCTCGTTGCTTGGACAGGTGGAAGTGATTTGCAATTACGCCCCTAGTTTTTGGTTTTTTTACTTTTGAGTCGTTTTAACCCCAATCCAACTTTATATGGTTAATTCGGCCCAATCTATGTCTTCTGTGGTCAGCAAGGTCCAACCCTAATTTTTGGTGAGTTGGAAACTTAGGGCACGTTTGTTTGACAGGATTCGCTGGGACTGGACTGGACTAGACTATAGTCCAGTGTTTGGTGGGTACCGGGATTAGCTTTAATGAGCTTAGGTGGGATTCGCTAGGACTAAGGGGGGGCTTAGCCGTTCTTCACGAGGGATCCCAAATTCGGGCGGACTCGTAAGCCAGAGAAACCGCGTCTTCCCACATCTCACATCCCACATCGTCCTCATCTCTGCGTCTGCCCTCGTCGTCGTCCTTGCCGTGCTCCCACATCGTCCTCACGCTCATCGTCGTCCTTGCATCTGGTCGTTGTCATCTGCCTCTAGTCGGTAAGCTTCGAATCTTGGATTTTTTTTCGTCGATTTGTGTGGATTTGTTTGTGATATTAACTGAGGTTTATTTGATTTTATTGTTTTGGGTTTGAGAAATTCATAATATACAAGTGGATTTGCAATTGAACAAATTAGGGTTTTGTTATTTAGGTGAAATTGAGATTAGAATTTGGGGTTTTCATAAGATGAAATTGAGATTAGTCTCAGGTGTGTGCTCTCTGTGTGTGTGTGTTTGTGTGTACTGAAAAAAAAATTTGTCTGTGTGTTTGTGTGTGTGTGAGTGTGTTTGTGTGTGTGTGTGTGTGTATGTAATCTGTGTAACCTGTGTAATATATGTGTGTGTGTGAGTTGTGTGTGTAAAATGTGTGTGTAATCTATCCGTGTGTGTGTGTGTAACCTGTGTTATTTGCAGTGTGTGTGTGTGTGAGTTGTGTGTGTAAAATGTGTGTGCAATATGTCCGTGTGTGTGTGTGTGTAATCTGTTTTTGTGTGTGTATGTGTGTGAGTTGTGTGTGTGTAAAATGTGTGTGTGAGTTGTGTGTGTAAAATGTGTGTGTGAGTGTGAGTGTGAGTGTGAGTGTGAGTGTAAGTGTTTGTGTGTGTGTGTGTGTTTGTGTGTGAGTGTGAGTGTAAGTGTGAGTGTGTGAGTGTGTGTGCGTGTGAGTGTGTGTGCAGTGTGTGTGTGTATGCAGTGTGTGTGTGTGTGTGCAGTGTGTGTGTGAGTGTGTATGCAGTTTGTGTGTGTGTGTGTGTGTGTGTGCTGTGTGAGTGTGTATGCAGTGTGTGAGTGTGAGTGTGTGTGAGTGTGAGTGTGTGTGCAGTGTGTGTGTGTATGTAGTGTGTGTGTGTGTGCAGTTTGTGTGTGTGTGCAGTTTGTGTGTGTATGCAGTGTGTGTGTGTGCAGTTTGTGTGTGTGTGCAATTTGTGTGTGTATGCAGTGTGTGTGTGCAGTTTGTGTGTGTGTGTATGTGTGTGTCCAGTGTGTTGTGTGTGGTGTGACTGTGTTCAGTGTGTATGCAGTTGTGTGTGCAGTTTTGTGTGTGTGTGTGTATGTATGTAGTATGTATGCAGTGTGTGTGTGTATGTATGCAGTATGTATGCAGTGTGTGTGTAAGTGTGAGTGTGAGTGTGAGTGTGAGTGTGAGTGTAAGTGTGCAGTGTGTGTGTGTTGTGTGTGTGAGTGTGTGAGTGTAAGTGTGAGTGTGAGTGTGTGTGTGTGCAGTGTGTTGTGTGTGTGCATGTGTGTGTGTAGTGTGTGTGCAGTGTGTGTGTGTGTGTGCAGTGTGTGTGTGAGTGTGTATGCAGTTTTGTGTGTGTGTGTGCAGTGTGTGTGTGTGTGAGTGTGTATGCAGTGTGTGCAGTGTGTGTGTGTCTATGCGTGTGTGCAGTGTGCTGTGTGTGTGTGTGTGTGTATGTATGCAGTATGTATGCAGTGTGTGTGTGTGTGTGCGTGTGTGTGTGTGTGCAGTGTGTGTGTGTGTGTGCAGTGTGTGTGTATGCAAGTATGTATGCAGTGTGTGTGTGTGAGTATAAAAACAGAGTGTGTGTGTGAGGGTAAGAGTTTGTTGCACTCTGTCCTCGTGTGTGTGTGTGTGTCACTGTGTTCAGTGTGTGAGTGTTCAGTGTGTGAGTGTGAGTGTGTGTGAGTGTGAGTGTGTGTGCAGTGTGTGTGTGTGTATGTAGTGTGTGTGTGTGTGCAGTTTGTGTGTGTGTGCAGTTTGTGTGTGTATGCAGTGTGTGTGTGTGTGCAGTTTGTGTGTGTGTGCAATTTGTGTGTGTATGCAGTGTGTGTGTGCAGTTTGTGTGTGTGTGTATATATGCAGTGTGTGTATGTGTGTGTCCAGTGTGTGTGTGTGTGTGACTGTGTTCAGTGTGTGAGTGTGAGTGTGTGTGTGTGTGTGTATGCAGTGTGTGTGTGTGTGTGTGTGTGTGTGTGTGTGCAGTGTGTGTGTGAGTGTGTATGCAGTTTGTGTGTGTGTGTGCAGTGTGTGTGAGTGTGTATGCAGTGTGTGTGTGTCTATGCAGTGTGTGCAGTATGTGTGTGTCTATGCAGTGTGTGCAGTGTGTGTGCGTGTGCGCAGTGTGTGTGTGTGTGTGTATAATATGCAGTGTGTGGAGTGTGAGTGTGTGTGTGTG